CACGTGGAAATCCCGAGCTCTGATGACCAGAACAATTCTCTGTTACCGCCTTCTCCTGAGAGAATGCAGATCACTCTTTTTCCTACTGACAGATCTGTTGGGAATAAGGTATTAACCAACTGTGCATTTGCCGTGATCTAACTTAACGGTGCAGCTGAGGGGCCAGCACTCCTGTTTCATATTTTGCAAGTTTTAAGTTCTCATCGTGGCCCAGAGACTATCTGTCCTAACTCAGGTGTTTAAAGTTCATAGTTGTTCCATTACATCATGTAAATTGTTTTGTAAAAAAGAAATAATTTCTCGTGATGAGAAGATTGACGCACATTCTATTTTTCCAGCCACGCTGGTTGACTCATTCACATTTTTTCATTTGATTGTCGCTTCCTAGAACTATTTGTGGCCCAAAACAAAATGCTGTTGGACAGCACGTGATCTTTGTTCAGTTGATTAACATGTTATATGTTCAGGGAAAAATTATTTCAGTTTTAAGACGTTAAACCATTCCAGGTTTTGAAATCGTGTAACTCCGAGAGTTTAATTTTTTCTTAGCGGTGAATGTTTTAGAATTTGTAGAGCATGAATACAGTGGTAATGAAACACACATGTGAAAACAAAGTCATGGATAAGACTAGGTACTTAGGTGAAGTACAGATCAACATTTCTGAGCATTGATGTCTTGTGTTATAGTATTGGAAAAGGAAAACAATACATTTTGAAACAGCCTGTGGTAGGTTTCTGCTTGTTGAAATTTGGATACAACAGTTTTTCAAAGATTTTGTGTATGCTGTGTATATACACAGTTGCTCACTGTTTTTCAGACTGAAGAGAATTGTAATGTCCTGGCATGGAGTCCGTCCAGAACCACAGCACCTGCGCTGCCGTCTCATACCGACAGTGTGGCCTCTGCTGTCATGCATCCAAGTCAGTCAGCAGTCGAGGAGAGCCCCGCTAAAAAGAATACGTCGCCTCTTCACTCCTTTACGTCGCTCATGGATCGAATCTCACCGGACAGAACCGCTGGTGACGTATACCAGAGGGGGGTAAGTGTAATTTAATTTACTTGTTTTTAATGTTTGTCATTACTTCTGTTCCAATTTAGTCTCATGCGTTCAGTGTTTAAATTGATCTCTTTATGCATTTTGTGCGTGAACATGTTGGCTCCATAGATGTATAATTTTCACAGTGCAGGATTGTTCTTGCATCTGAACAGAGTATGTGACTGATTAAGCTTATCCTCTGTTCATTGCCCGTTATTCGAAGTATGTGACATTTTGACAGTTCATTGCACTCCCATTTTCAGGTCACTGTTTGTCGTCGTACAGACACAAATATTATTTTTGTTGTTATTATTTATTTATTTTTACGTTACTCTGTAAGGTTTGAGGTAGTCGGAAATATTTTCTGAGGTAAGGTTGTGGCATAAGTTCCCGTGCCATCACACTGGAAGATTTAGGTGCCTTTTTATCTTTCTTGTCTTCCCCGATGGCAGGCTGGTACAGACAGTTTTGTAGGGTGATCCATTTATCATGGCTATTCTGAATATGTGCCACAGACGTACTGACAGGTATCTGCGTTCATCAGAGTTATAATTTGCAGAGAAAGCAATGTGCGTTTGTAATCTGTAGAGAAATGTTCAGTGTGATGTTAGTTTTTGATCGCGCCGTCTCGTACGAAATCTCAGCTCTTGTAGGATGCAGTTAGTCTTCTGTGTGTGCGTGCCACTCATTAATGAATTTGTACTTCTTATACGCACGCCGTTTCAGCATGGCAAAGACATGGTAAATTACATCCAGAATGAGCTTGAAGCACTGGAGAGGGAACAGAAGCAGATTGACAAGCAAGCAGCCTTACTGGAAAAGGATCTGCGAAGAGTGATGGAATCAGGTACTGGGCGCTTAAGTTTTGTAATTACAGTGAAACCTCGATGCATCGTTTTCGGCGGGGGTGGGAAATAAAAACGATGAATGCGGGAAAACGATAGATGCGGGAAAGCATTAAAAATTTAAAAAAAAAACAATGTTTCTCTTTCAAAGTTACTTCTTTTTACCAAAAAAGTCTTTAATGGACAACTGGTTTGTTGAAACTTTACGTTTTAGACCAAACAGAGCACTTTCCACGTTCAAAATGTTTTCTTCGTCACGTTCACTAATATTAAGCGCATAAAAGAACGACTTCACTTTCGCCAATGCAGCGTGTGCTTCGGCAAAACTCGGCAAAGCTTCGGGCTCACATTCGTCGTCTTCCTCACCACTCCAACCCCCTTTGCGGACAATAACAGGAAGAATGGAAATACTATTACTGCCGAACTCAACGAAACGTAGCTGTAGAAGACCCTGAACCGCGGGAAACGAGATGAACCAGAAGAATGAAAAGTGCCGCCAGCCTTTCCTTTGTACTTGTAATAAAAGCATTTGTGAAGAAATTCACACTGCACATGCCATCTGGCATCGCTGGAACGAAATATGAGTGCACCCTAATTAAAATCGTAAAATTTCTGACAATGAGCACCGCCATTCACTCCAACTATCACCCCTGCACCGCTGACCCTCATTCCAAAAGAATGTGCTGGTTGGGCGACATAACAGGTCACGGCTACTGCGTATTCCAAAAACATTGTGCGTCTTTCGGTATTAATTTATCTCTAAACCCAGCATTTTAAATTCTCAGAAACGATCATTGCGGGAAAATTGTGGGACGGGACTAAGATTTTTGAACGATCGATGCGATAAAACGATAGTTCGAGGAACGATAGAAGCGGGAAAATGTAACATTATTTTATATGGGATGTATTCGGGACCGAACAAAACGGACGATGCATCCGGGAAAACGATAGTTCCGGGAACGATGGATAGAGGTTTCACTGTATTTTAAATGATATTTTTATTACAGACCTCGCTGTAGTAATATTGATTAGGTTTGCCAGTAACTAGTTAATAGGAGATATTTTTATTTTCACACAATCATTCTAATTTTGTTCCATTCCGAGTGAACATTTGAACAGTCAAAAGCTTCATTCTGATAGAACTCGCATCAGTACACATAAATGTTTCATGTTTTAATGCAGTGTAATGTGCAACTTCAGCTTCTGGGGATCAGCCCCATCAAATGTTGAAAGTTTTATCCATTGTTTTGGTTAACATTGCAGTTGCCATGTTCAGGGTGAATACATATTGGTTGAGCGTTTTTGGAAGGCATATATAGCTCAGGCGAGCAGGCCAAGACCTACCCTGGGTTGTAGCGTCCATGATGATGATGATGTATAGGTCAGGCAATAGGCAGAGAGTGGGATGTGTGGCGGAGCTCAAGAGTGGGCTGCTGTCTCGTTGGTGATGAGCGTGTGTTTGAGAAGAAGGAGTAATGGGAAGAGAAGTTAGGAAAGGAGGTGACAGAAGGGGGGGGGGGTTATTTTATGGGTCGCCAGGTTGGGAGAAGAGGTGCTGGAGGATGGCCCTTAACAGGGACAGAGAACTTTGCTGTGGAATTTGCGTCTCACATGTGAGTAAGTGAAGATGTGTGCTGGCAAGGCAACCCAGAATTAAGTGAGGCAGAGCATTTTGAAAGACTGAAGTGTGAAATCAGTACAAGTTGCAAGTAGAAAACTGGTAATAGCAGCCTTTCCTTGCGTTGAGTATTGTACAGTGCTGCACAAAAGAAAACTTAGCTGCAATGTGAGATTTGAGGTTTTCGCGGAGGTGAAGAGAGATACTGTTTTCTTCTGGGTTATGAAACCGCATAGTCTTGTAGGTGGTAGCCAGTGTTTCGGAGGAACTCACCAGCTGCCTTTTTCACCCTGAAGATTGCATGGTGTATACCTCTGAAACATTGGCTACTGCCTACAAGACTGCACGGAGTCATAACCCAGAACACGATCATGAAACTTCCTTCTTTTGTAGGTAATGATCGAGAAAGAGAAGAACAGCTGATGGCCAAGTGGTTTACGCTAGTGAACAAGAAGAATGCTCTCTTAAGAAGGCAGATGCAGTTGAATATTTTGTGAGTAGAGCCGATGTGCTGTTTCTTCACTCATTTTAAGTACTTCTCAGATATGTAGACAATTTAGAACTTTAAGTCTACTGTAAAAGTTCTTGGCACGTATTTATCACTGCGTGAGGCGGAAACTGCTGATCTCAGAGATTACAGTTTGTCTGCTCTAAGCTTTATGAACATTATGACGTTCGCATACGGTGAATAGTAAATATGTTTAACGTTGTGGTAGCAGTGTAAGGAAGACCATGACTGGAGTGAAGGAGAAAATTCTAGGGCATTTGTTGATGTGTGGTACTGGAGCATGTTTAATAGACTGTATACTTACATTTTCAGCATTCAGCAAATATTATTTGCATTCGTCTTTGGTTATATAAGCAAATCCACTTTGGGCAAACATTTTGAACAAGGGTTTACTGTAAGTCATTGGCTTTTATGTATATTTATCACTGAGAGAATGCATTTATTTATGACATTAAATGTGTATCTCACTGATATAAATGTTTTATGCAATAGCTCTGCGAAGTACTCTGAATTCATGTGCATAAATTGTGTTCTTTTGTTTGCTATATCCTGTCATGATTCATATTTCATAATACTTGAATGTGGATTGATCATTGTGTATGTGCTGAGTCATATTACCTTTCAATTTTTTTCCAGCAACATTTATTTCAGTTATCAGAATCATTTAGTGTTTGTTTGTTTCCTTCCAGTAAATTATTTATCACGTCACTTTCATTATCCTTTTTCCATAGCGTCACTGTGCATTTTCTTCAATTGGCAGGAAACATGACCAGCCCCCAAATAATCTGTTCCACTGGTGCTTATTCAGAGCTGTTCATGTTTTATTTTCAGAGATTTGGGTTTGTATTTTTTATGTATTCACTGCATTTGAAATATATTTCAAATGATAGTTGTATACCGTAATGGGGCCTGTTTCTTTTTTGCCATCTACAAAGTTTCTGTTTCATGAGCTGTTTTTGGAAAAATGAAGAAAAAAAATTCAATATGCCCATTACATAATGTTAGGGTTTTTGTTTTACTAATGTGAACATAAATTTTCCCAGTGTCAAATTTAATGCTAATGTGTGAATGAAGTATGTTTCATGAAATACACAGGCAGGCGCTGCTTCCCCCATGTTTGTTTGTTGTATGCACATTGTTTACAGATGCATAAAAATAGTACTAACATGTTTGGAACCAGAATTTGATTTTTCAGCTTAAAAACGTCTTAAGGTAAATAACCAGATATCCTTGAAAATGAAGCCACTGACAGGGTTGTGACACAGTATTCTGTTTTCAGCAAGGTCGTACTGGGTTAGCGTTGTTTTTAAATGGAACAAGCTAATCCCAGTACAGTCTGTAGCACAGTTGGTGTGGCATTTCTTTTGAGATGGCGGAACCTTGACAAATATGTTCCTGCCACTTTTGTTATAGACATTTTTTTTGTACACTGTGTAAACAGGAATTTTGAACTTCTTTTGTTTTTTCCAGAGAGAAGGAAGATGATTTAGAGAGACGATTTGAACTTCTTAATAGGGAATTGAGAAGCATCTTGGCCATGGAAGGTGAGCATGAAACGTTGAAAGTAAAATAAAACCCTATATTTCTCTTGACAGCAAATATTTCTGATGCGCGTATGTGTCTATCTGTAGTGTACGCAGGTGCATACAGTAACTGGCAACTGGGTATCTAACGGAGATGCGGATTGGAAATGAATAGGACACGCCTTCTAGTCTGTGCTGATCGTCTTAATTTAATGGATGAAGATGCAAATCTCGTAAAGAAAAACACAGGTGGTTGTAAGGAAACCGTTCTGTAAAAGCAGGAAATTTTTTAACCAGCTTAAGATAAACTTTTCAAGGAAGACCTTATAGTTCGCCCTGATGATGGAGGCAGCAAGGACCTTTGAAACGTCGGTAAACTTCTACCAGAGTACACGGCACAACAACCCACAGACTCACTGGCACGAAAACCTCATCAAATCCTACACGAAATGTGTTGTGCTTCCTTTGAGATAGGAACAGAATTTTTTAATATCATTTAGATGAGTTTTGTGCCCAAAGTGTTAACGTAATATAAGCAATGGCTTTGTTACTCTTTTTCCGACATTTGCAGATTGGCAGAAAACAGAGGAACAGAAAGTTCGTGAAAATCTGTTACTTGATGAACTGGTAACAATTGTCAATAAGAGAGATGAATTGGTTCATCACTTGGACTCGCAGGAGAGAGCGTAAGTACATGCAGAGATATACAGCTTCATTGACTTCGGTGTCTTAATACGAGTTCAGCAGATTGATTGTGTTTTGTTGGTGAAAACTGATTTGTCTGGTCCGGCATTCACAAGCTGAAGTAAACTGACGCTCTGTGCCGAATGTTACTTTTTATGTTTTGTTTATCTGTTTACTTATCTGTTCATGATATATACAGTGCAAGGTCATGTCGAATGAGATGAGAGGATAGTATGAACGGTGAGTTTGAAAAGAATATGCCATGGTTAATGTCTTGATACTACACTGGGGTAGTTCCCTGAAATCTCATGAAAACCACAAAATGTCTGTCTCTGCATCATTATTCTATGACCCACATGTTGGACTCACAGTTCTGTTAGGCATAGAAGCTCAGTCACTCTTAATAACATCAAAAACATTTTCCTCCTTTTGAAAATTCCTTCTATTTCTTTTTCTATTACTTTTAATAACATAACTGTAACACAAATAAAGCATTAAAATATATAATATAATTCAGGTCTATACACAAACTTTATTTACAGATGTTAAAATTTAAAATTTAAAATTTGCGCTATTCATCGTTACTACGATGTTACAATACTGCGCCTTCATGAAGTTTGTGTATAGACCTGAATTATATTATATATTTTAATTATAAAACACAAACATGACGCATTTAAACTATAAATAAAGCATTATAAATTTTTGCAGTATTGAAGATGATGATGAAATAGAGCGAGATTTGAACAGAGTTTCGATGCCTCAACAAAATCGAAATTGTGTTGTGCAGTAAAGAAAAATAAGAATTTAAAAAGTGAATAAATGGTGAGTAGCGTTCAGCATTTAATCTTATTACTTTTAGAAATGTGATCAAATATCAGAGCTCCTGTGTTTAGGAGCAGTTTAGATTTATGTGTGCTTGCAGGTTTCATTCAGACTGTACTTATTTAAACACATTTCTCTATGTGTCAGCTGTTCTTGTCTGTAAGCCAAGTTCAGCGTCATGTTAATTTGTTTGAGCAGGTATTGAAGGCATTTGCTCTTAGCATGGCACATTTAAGGGTTGTGAATAGTAGTGATTGGATTTTAATGTAATTTGTGCTACCAGTAGGTTTTTGATGGTTGTCAACAGCCAGAATATTTCAAAATATGTTTCGTATTTATAAAATAGGGAAGAAATACTAAAAATTTTAAATTTAAACACGCTTCTTTTCATTAGAGTCTGTAATCATTCATTCAGGGGAATCTTTTCTTAGAAACGATATTTGTTGCAACTTGGAAATGCATTACAAATGGATTTGAACTTCCCCATTATCCAGGGTGACAGAAATTCTCTTTCATTCTGCTGCTGCACTTGTTGGAAGTAGTGTTTTTTTTTAAAATTTCTTTGTTGGTATGAAAATAATTAGTTTGTGTACACGCATTCTTACAGTTGACAATTTGAAAATCCCTTGTTTTTGTGGTAAGTTATGTTTCTGATTAACTGTGCAAAATGGTCTGTGACTTTTAATAAATGTCAGATAAGAGCTTTATGTCCTTGTAAGAGAATGTTTTGTGCGTTTCAAACTATCTTGAGAAGCAGCTACATACAGTGTTACATAGCTCTGTCATGCCCATTCATCTGCCCACTAGTAGCAGCGTCTAAACTGTAGGAATGATTTCATTTGTTTAAACTTGAAGTGGTAGATGAAAACTAATTTTGTTGAGCGATTTTCCATTGAGATGAAGTGTAAAAGGCACGCACAGCAGATGTGCATACACCAACCATAAAAGTCGGCAGTGGCTGAGCACAGCATCATTGAAGGCTGCTGTATCATCTTCAAGGACGTTGTGGTACTGGCCAGAAAGGTGGGATACATGTATTACTCAGTGAAAGATGTCATTGAGATCAAGCTACATCTTGACATCTTAAGCAGACGGACAGAATAGCAACAGCCAGTAGCCCGTTATGTCCTTTTTAAGTAATAAATGCTGTGTGACGATGATTTGGCTGACGATGATTTGATATGAAGTGGCCGTGTAACAAGACATTTACAGAAAGTGGTTGCATTTTTATATCGACAGTTCGCCTTATAATCGTAATTTTTAACGTAAACAGTGATAGTTCCTTACAATTTTTGGCTTCCAGCCACAAAAACGTAAGGAACAAGGAGTAATTGCAAAATTGAGTGTGTAATTTTGGCTGTCAAGGATGAGCCACATTGAATGCTGGGAATTATCTGACGTTTGACACTGCTCATCCCCAAAAGCAGAAGTTACATGTGAAGTGATGGCTGTTTTCTTTTTCTCTCTTTTACAGTTTTGCAAGCTAAACATTGGTTATGTGCCACAATCATGATCGCTGTAGACTGCCAAAGAAGAATTAATTTTTCTCTCATTTAAACTACTGTCATCTATTTTTTAAAATAGTAGGATGCATGTGTGTGGGTGCTGCACGGTTGTCTAGAAAGTGAAAGTTGTGGCATTGTCGTGGACAAATTTGAGAGGTAAGAAGATACAAAAGAACAGGGTTTGGTGGTTTCGCCTCTGCTTCTGTCCCGTGTTGTGTCTGATGTTACGTTGTATCCCAGTGGACTGGGCATCCTGTTTCCTACTGGCAGTCTGGCCCAACGCTGAGAGAAGTGGATATTTTTGCAGTGCCCCTCTGTTTTATGCATGTATATTTGTAATTAGCTGGCGATATTTGAAATTATGTTGAGTTCAAGTAGATGACATCTTTGGTGTATATTTTTTCTTCGAGATTTTTTTTTGTCAGTAAAATATAAATGTTTTTGAAGCACAGTGAAACCTGCTGCTAATTGAATCCCCAAGGGGTCTGAATAGTTTCTCACTTCAGGTGCGTTTCTATGTAGCACAGGAGCTAATTGTGTTTTCCAGATTATAAGATGCGACCAGGTTATAGAGGGACATTTTAGAAAATTTTTTGCTATAAGGTACATGCAGATTTTAGACATTTTCAAGCAAAAAATAAATAAAGCGTGTCTTATAAGAATGTAGTACTTTAGATAAAAGACTTACATGGTGTGTACCATGTGTATTTATGAACAAAATCACATCAGTCTGTCTGTTTTGTTTCGTTCTCCAGTCACTAGTTCAGTAAAATGCCGCGAGGCATTCCGTTTCTGAACGGAGTCCTCAGACAGTTCTAGAAAAAACAATTAGAGCAAAATTATTGAGCAAGCAACAACAGATTTTCAAGCTTGTTCTTGTTTTTTGTGTGTGTGTTAAACTTTTTCTTCTTTGTCCTTGCATTGAACGTTTATTACAGATAGGGTTACATTTGTTTTCCGCTCTATATTCGTGGGACCAGAGAAATTTCCTGATAAAGGAAGGTTTTATATAATGCAGGTTCCATTGTAGGCAGGTTTTACTGTACAAAGTGCTCTTGCTTGTTAAATTGAATTTAGAAAACAGACTATTGAACCCTGTTATAAGAATTACATCTGACTTCTTTCATATTTGTCGTGTGCCAGGAATTTTGAGAACGTCTGTTCGTTGTGTGGACACGAGAGAGTCATCTTTTGATTTTCTGTGCTTTAAATGTGTACTGCACAATCTTTCATACTGTCGCATGTTATTAAAGTGTTGAATGACAATGTGTGGTTTTTCATACTGATTCTTGTACATGTAAGTTGAAGCTTTACAATTTTATTACACGCCTTATGTTTGTGGAAAATAATTACATTTTTGTATGAATATATTCTGCCCATTGCATACAAATTACTTATCAATACTGTAATACACTGCTCTTTGTTGGTACGTGATTGATGTCTGAGAACGTAAAGGTATGCAGTTTAATTTCAGTTTCAATACTTGCGGTGCGTAGGTATGAGTAACTGACAACAGCATGATGTGGCAACACTGTGGTACCAAATAATGTGTTCGATGCTGCTAGTGTGTCCATTGACACATGCATTAGTCACATTTCATTTGGCACTTTACTGTTGCCACATCATGCTAATTTACACTTGGGTACCAATGAAACTGTTACTCGCCCACGTGTCGTTAAAGTTCACGGGCACAGACAACGCAACCGCGGCTCACCATAGACTGACAACCGCCATCAGACCAGTGGACTGATAGCTAAGTGCCCAATATAATACACCAACTCCTGTGCAACCAACATCCAACGAAGTGTTACTAAATATGAAGAACTTACCTTTATGCTCTGTTAAAAAAACTTTTAATCTTTTGATTTATATTATATGATTTAACTTGTTTTTTTTGCCACTGATGATGACCTCTTGAGGTCGAAACGCGCTTGGCATTCATAGTGTAAATTCCTGTTTGTATGCGTATTTTATATTTGGAGCTTTACATTTCTGTGTCTCTCAGTTCATTGTACGGACTAACTCAAGAGCTTGTTACTCGGTAAAAGTGGAGCATGTTGGCGATCTCATTTTGTGTGTGAACCTTCTTTACCTTTGCACGAAACATTGTGCTGTAAAAAAAGACAACAGCAAAGAGCAGTGTGAACTTTTGTAACTTATCTGTAAACTATAAAGTGTGCCATCTTAGTCATAGAATATACTGTGTACATAGCCACTTGATATTCTGAACAGTTGACATTAAGTTTTCACGTGACTTCACCTGTGCGAATGATTGGAATTTAAGGCCTTTTGAATATCAGCAGAAGCTGTTAAGATCAATGGAAGAAGAGAATTAATTAACAGCCACAGTACTTTAGCAGATAAGAAGAAAAAGAATAACAGTATGTAGTAAATATTTATTCCAAGTTTACCTTTTTATGATGTATTGAGGGTCATTACCATCTCTGTATGAATCATCAGTATAAAATATTTACATTTTCTTACTTAAGACAGATTTATACATGTATCACTGTCAGATCACATTATGATAATTTTTCAAGACAGACAGAATATAAAGAAAAATTTTTGCCTGGGAAACTTCTAAGCCTCTTTTCCATCCTTGTGGGCCAATGTTCTGTTCTGTTGCAGTTCCATACAGATGCTAATAATTTGACATTTACGTTTGTTCCTGAAGACCGTGCAACGCACTTGAACCTCTCGGCCTTCTGAGCATCGAGCCATTCCAAATCAGTGACCCTCAGTTTTTATTTGGGAATTAATAATTCAATCTGCTGCTGCTGTTGGTAGTTTTGGGTTGTTTTATAAGGAGTAATTCTTATTGAGAAACAAAAGCCATTGTCTTGACATATACAAAAGGAGTTGTGATTTATTCATACCATAAAGATCAGTTTCAACAACATATAAAGAAGCTAAACAAATGTATAAATTTTAATGGTTTCTGCAGTTCATAAGATATTTTACAGTTTATTTTATTTCTGATAAGACAAACATTCAGTTATGAGAAATTCAGCTGTGTGCGCTTATGTTACCATGCATTCTTGCCAGATATAAGTTCTAGTAGACACTAATGTTATAGACTAGACTCATAGTGTTAATATTGTAATAATATTCGTATACTTGCTTCAGAACTTAAGAAAGAAAATCAGGTATTGCAGTTTGTGCTGTTTTAATGCATACAAAATGACAAAAGAAATGGGTGTTCACTGCTACTGTATGTTAATATGCAAGACAGTCGCAAATAATGGTACACTATAATTCATTGACAAATGCATAGCTTATTTAAAACAGGTTACTTTTTATGGGATTCTTGTTGTTAGTATATAGCAACATAGTAAAATACATTATAATTATTTAAGATCATTGAGTTGAAATAAATTACTTTACACTGTAACATGACAGCCTATTCAGTTTGTCCTGTTTAATTTTAATTCTCGCAGTACAGAAAAAACATCAGTTGCCAAATAAACTGCCATCTTCCTGCCTGAATAATTGCTACACACTGTCAGTATTATATCGCGTGAATCAACGAGGGCATGTTGCAGGTTATGCTTCACATGAACATGATTTAGCTCAGATATCATCTCACTTGCTGAGCGCAGTGAAGTCCGTTTCTTCCCACATCTCGCCTGCCATCGCACCACATTGAAATCATCTAACCCACTAACACGCTGATAATCTTCACTGAGCTTTCCCTTTAAGCTTATTTGGCATTTCTAGACACTCCCTGTGTTCATGGATACCAAAGATTCTATTATAGCACGAACTCATAATCCTCGGTTTAATCGCCATAGAAAAGTACAGACTGTGATGCTTCTTCCATAATTGTTTTTACTCCCTCAGTTTCAGACATTCTCCTCATCATTTTGTGTTTACGCCCCTTCAACATTGACCCACTGTAGACCGACACTGAGCCAGAATCTCTGTCGGGGCAATGACGCGCCAAACAGGATACAGGAATTACGAGTGCAATTCCAATATTCGGATGTCAGGTGTTACTCAAGAATCATTAATGACCAAAAGTTTAAATTAGCTTGCAGGCACACTCATTCGCAGTTCACTCTTGTGGTCATTTCTGTGCAGCTTTCTTGTAAGCAGTTCCATGGCAAGATTTACCTATGGAACAGCAGCCATTCATATAAATTGTCTTACTACTTCAAAGGCAGTATGCAGGAAAACCCACCGTGATAGACAAATAGTGAGTGAAGTGAACTATCTCGCGCAGTTATCGAATGCGCTTCATGGCCTACGCATGTTGCAGCTGGCTGTGCACTGCGGTAGTGCACGATTAAACAGAGGACCCTGCAGTTAAATTCTGGCTGGCAGCTACAAGTACAGGTGTGTGAATCCATGAATTGCAAGTGATAAGCTTAATGATGTCATTATACTATTAACAAAGAAGTTGTTTCAGCCATAATTTTCAAACTTTAATAAATTATCACTCAGTTTCACTTCTCGTACATATTCCACTGTATTCTGTAGGAATGTGGACATAACTTGGTACTGGTATCATTTTAGACTTGTGTTATCCCGATTGACATTTTTAATGAAGATGGCTGTCGTCTGGGTTGTTGCGCTGTGTGGTCTGGTAGAAGTTTACCGACATTTGAGGCCCTTGCAATCATCGCCCTGATGATGGAGACAGTGAGGGCCTCTGAAACGTCGGTAAACTTCTACCAGACCACACAGCGCAACAACCAAGGAGACAGCAATCTTCTGTATCTTGTTTGATTGTCTTTTGTTCTGTAAAACAGGAGTTTCGTCACTGATGAAACTCGCTACGATTTATTAATGTACAATAAACAGCAGAGTGACATGTCCTTGACTAGGATTTATCGTAGGACGTGTCTGACAGTAGCAATACAGTATGAGACTTAAAATATAATAAAATCTGATATAAAATTTGTCACTAAAAACCTATTAGTAAAAAATGGAATGAAATGTGAGCTGCACAAACTTCTGAAGAGAATTTGTGGTAATTTAAATGTTCTCATCTTTTTGTTAATGACGTTCTTCCTTCAACTATCACTTGAACTGCTGACTATACAGAAGTTCTGTGATGAACTGTCGACCGCCAACGGCTTGTGTTGGAAGTACATCGACTCCTTCACCATTTGTGTTGCTGCTGTCATCCAAGAGGCTGGTCTCTTCAGATGAACTGTCTGTTCCAAAACAAATCCATTTAATGTACTAATGAATATAGACTGAGAAACCTCCGAAAGGGGTCAGCGAAGACACATTCTGGGTTATAGAGCCAAGAAGAAGAAGGAGATAAATTATTGCTATACTGTGGGTTGATCACCATGAATCACCATTAGAGAGCAAAGGTTAATTGATTTCCAGTTGTATGAGGTGACTTAACGCTACAGTTAGTTCTTTCACCAAAGCCTCAGAAAAATGAAAAGCTGTCTACAGGTCGGTAAACATACTTTTGCATTCTAAGCAAGATGCTGCATGCAAATTTGGTCTAAAAGTATGATCTCTTGATAAGTCACTGTTATAGTGGACAGACTGTCAAGTTAATTCAAGATAAATAAGAAGCTGCTACATACATTTCTGTGGATTATATCAACATGCGAATTGCATACAAAGGAAGTTTAAATAAACTTTACTAAATATGTTATTATCACAAAGTATGGGTTCTATTATACCATCATGTTCTCCCCTAAGTGTGACGGCATTCTTCCTCTTCGGGTTGAGTCGTAGTTCATCATCGTCTCTTGCAGCACTGTACAAAAATTCCCCCTCATTTTCATTTGGCCGACGTAAGTGCCACCACGACAGCATACAAACGAGCACGATGAAGAACAAGTTAGACGTTATCCCAACAGCAGCAGAAAGCATCGGCCAATGAAACATGAAGTAGCGTATCCCAGTGAAGTGAGCGTGGATGTGCAGTGTGGCAGAATACAATTCCACGTGACGAGATTGAATTTCCACGTAGATGTCTGTCACTGGATGGTTCTACAATATAAATTATATACTGATAAAATAAAATATTTTATTTACGAGGTGTCATCAAATATTTATGGAATGACTGAAATGTGAAACTGCTAGTAGATGATGGGACAATATAATCTGCTGAATCATTTGCCACAAAGGTGATCTGAATCCCCATATTATGGGGCTGTTGACCGAATTTTAAAATTCTGGGGTAATGCTAGTTTAACAGATGGCAAGCTGGACTGTGAGTAAGACTTGATACATGGCTGATAATTAAGTTCAAAACTGCGGAATATGTCACCGTCAATTGACACTTTGTGAAGTACAGCTGCGTGCAGTGCTGTGACCCTTGTTCAAAAATCCGGTAGACTTTGAAGAACATTGCAAGTGTACTCAGTTCTGTTTGAAATTAGGCAAAAGTGCTAATGGAACTCTGCAGTATTTTAAGACTTGTTTTAGTAGAGGAAATAATGAACAAAATTCAAGGATTCAAATGGTTTTTAGTGTTTAAAGGTGGAACTTCTTCTGTTGAAGATGGTGAATGTTTACAACACAGACATAAGTCCATGAGATTACCTGATCTTCCTCAAAATCTGCAAGAAGTTCTAAAACAATGTTCTGTTTCTCTTCTTTATTGCCAAACACCATCATTGGTGAGAAGATGAGTGTAGACAACATATGAAGAAGGTAACTGCGATAGTGCAACATAGCGGAGCGGCAGGAGTTGTCGACCAACTGGCCGTCCTTATCTTGCAGCCGAATGCACACCATAAACATTCCTGGAAATAAGAAAAGTTGATATATATGTCTGAAATGATGGGGCATCAAATGATACTGAAATTTAAATTATATTGTTTGAACAGTTACCAAGTTTCTGATTTGCTGGAGATTCTGGCATCTCCAGATCTAAATACATTTTGTACTGTTGCCCAATCATAAGCAACTGCTGCTTCCTGGTTAGACGGACATGAGCCGAGGGGAAACTGCAAATACCTTTGCTGGCCTCACATGACCTATGCAAAAACAATACTTCAGCAACAAAGTTGCAAACAAGTGTAACAGCTACTACCAAAGCTATATTGTGGCATCACAGGAAGTCTGTGCAGTTTGATGGGACAGCTTGTGTCATTTGAAACGTACATATCAGGCACATAAGGAAAGGGTCTTCAAAATACTTACTTAAACTGTAGGTGAACAGCCCGAACATGTGAAATTGAAGGCATGTAAGTGTAATAAAAGGCTACATACAAAAATATTGCGAACCATAAGACGACAGCTGCTACTAATGCAACAACACCACCTCTAAACACTAATTCTCTGAGTTCATCAACAGTTCTCCGCCTGTAATTGTTAAGCGTTTGCCCAAGAAAACGAAATGCGGGCATTTTAAGCACAGACGTATTTATTCCCGATTTAAATGCTTAACAGCGGTTTTTGTTTTTGATAACAGTGTTTTCAAATAGTTATGTAGTTTGATAATAACGGTCCTGAACTTTGAACTGCGAATCTACGTCCGAGTTCAGAGTTTCGTGACTTAATGAGTTATACTAGAGACCATAAATTACCGTCATCTAGTAATTAAATTGTAATATTACTGCTACTACATTGTTCAGACACATAGCATTTCCCACTAATATTGAGAGCATGAGATGACCTTTGGATATCATGTCCACTTACATATTAAAAATGATACTGGAATTTTTTTCGTGCATAATTATAATTGCTTCTAAACGTGAAGATCAAGGGAAGTCGCACAAAGCGATGGGAATAATAAATTATATATCCTTAAGTTGGCATTGCAATTGCTGTATCCGTGACAGGAATCACCGATGATAATTTCCTCTAACTCTCACAGATTACATTTGTCAACATTATCAGTGTTCATGATCATAATAATCGTTAGTAGATTTGAAGTTGTGACAAAAGTATCCTGTATATTTTATTTTCAGCCTGAAAGTAGCTTGCAAACTACATAACATAGTACTTCTGAAGCACAGCTATGACAATAAATCTAGATATAAGAGTCAAGAAGGCCAACAAAGTATACCATGAAGGGGTATGTCGAGTTTGAGATCAGTTTCAGGTTATGTTGATGTTCATTTTTGTCCAGCGTTGCATGTGAGTAACAAATGTGATTTGATAATACTACCGATGCTCATAATTAGTAAAGAATTACTGAGAGAATTGTTCTACAATGTTTTATTGTCACTTCTGAAATGAAGGGTAGTAAAGGTGGTATGTAGAACTTCGAACTCGGTCAGGTTAGGAATGTGCATTGAATTATGTCATGAAATCATTTTGAGACATTTGAATTAAGATTTTGCCCCGTCATTTTATTGTTTTGTGTAAAGTATTGTAATGTAGACCATGACTGCTACCTCCCACTGTCAGAGTGTTACATCCTACTAATTCATAATTCTTAATTTAGTGTATTCAACTTACCTACACAATTTGTAAAATATCAAGCATTCTCTTCACATGTAAACATGCAGTCCACCATTATGAGCCAACTTTCGTTTCTGAAGGAAATAAATAGACTTCTGAGGTCATCAGCTTTTGAGTCAGTTGATGCTGGAAAAATACAAGAAGGTTTTGTTTGAGGACAAGACATGTATTACCTCATGACTTAACCATCCTCTGTAGTGGCCCTGGAATTGTCAGTTTCCCTCAATCCGTTCATTTCTGTTGGCTTGGATCAGAGTTTGTTTCTCCTTTCTGTTTCTTGCCTCTGAGTGACCAGTCTTCCTGTGCTCTCCGGCCTGGTCCTTCAGCTTTCCGATACTTAAACCATCAATCACTGAATCTTGCAGTTGAATGATTAACACTCCGCCCCTGGTCAAAATGTGGGTTCAGAGACCACATATCCTGACTGAGGCTTTTTGTGGTTTTCCTCAGTCCTTCCAAGCAAATGCTATGATAATGCCTTTCATTGGGCCATGACCTTTCCAATTTATTCTTTGCTGGACCACTAGATGGGAGATTATTGTACAGTTTTATATTTGTGTGAAATACCTTCTTTTGGTATGCGCTACACTCAGCAGTTGGTCTGTGCAGATCATGCCTGTGTCTAGTATATATTGGAATTAAAAGAACTAAGGTCATCAGTTATGTACATACAAATGGCTAGAATAAATTCACATTCTAGGAAACAAGCTGAACTAATGATGATCTTGCGCTGTAAATGAATTTACAATTTGGGAATCAGTATACAACAGTCCATTGAGGAGGTTCTGTAAAAGTAATGACTGAGTAACTAAAGGTATCAATTTGACCTGGAGGCGTAAGTGTGGCCTTTACGTAAGTAGCTGGAAAACAATTAAAATTTAAAAATATTTGGTGTCAGGCGCATTTAATTCTGTCATGTGTTTTACTTAATAATCAGACTTTGTGTTTGATGATGAAATGGCCCTTGCGTGTCCCCTGTATTCTGGTATTTAAAATACCTTTCCAGTGTTCTTGTTACTAAAATTCTATTATTTTTATATTTGTTTCAGGAGAAAATAACAGGCGTTGTCTTGGTACATTCTGCGTCTGATATAAAACATGATGGAATTTCTTTGACCATGGAAGGCACTGTTAACTTGCAGTTAAGTGCCAAAAATGTCGGAATATTTGAAGCATTTTACAACTCAGTTAAGGTATGTTTTTGGTTTCATATACTGAAGCAATTTAATTAAATGGTGTTGATTTTGATGCTCAGACTTCATTCTTTAGGAACCGTGGATATTATGTGCGTAGAGACGGCGCTCTGACGAACTTTATAATCTGGCACTTTATTTTCTTCTTAATGTTTTCTTTGGCGTAGTGTTACGCGATAAAATTCACATACTTGGAGGAAAAACTGTGTACTTGTGGTAAGTATGGAAATATTTTGTTGTACCATTTTGTTTGTCAAGCCATCGCAGACATTTTTGGTTTAGTTTTGAGATACGAGGTTCTCACGATGGCAAAAATGTCCATCATGGTCATCTGGGTACACACATACATCTTTATTATTAAAGGCATTAGCCACTGTTCCTGGTTCCTTTACTTTTTTATTGTTTGTTTGAAGAGATGGCATCTGTTCTGATAAATGTATTTTTCCTGTCTCCCTTTTCATTATGTTGCGTGTTGTTTTTATTTTATCGTCTGATTTTGCTATGAGTCTGGGTTGTGACACTGCGGTCTCTATTTTTCCCCCCGAAACTTTGGTCACCACATGCAGTGTGACAGCGTCACAACCCATAACATAGTCAACATTTTGGCGCCATTTATTGGAACACTGTGTATCAATCCTTTTATATTTCAGCCAATCCAGCTTGTTTCTTGCGTGTTAGAAGTGGCCTCTCCTGGGAAGATCCCAGCGGGGAAAACGGAGATGCCGTTTGAGTTTCCCTTGACTCCCAGGCCGAATAAGACTTTATACGAAACTTATCACGGAGTTTTTGTCAATATTCAGTATCTCTTGCGATGCGAAATGAAAAGAAGTTTCTTGGCAAAGGATCTGCTCAAAGTATCGGAGTTTATTGTGGAATGTAAGGTAGGGCTGAAGTACAAGTGTAAAATAGAACTGGGTCTTGCTTTAGAACAAGTGATACAATTATGTGGCTGATTATTTTCTTATCTAAGAGCTAAGATTGACAGCTGTTAACTTAATTTTTTTCCTACAGCTGTCCTTCCCCTTATCAAAGCATTTTTTTTGTGGGGGGGGGGGGGTTGTCCAGTTCCCTTGTCACGCTTCAAATAATCCTCTGGCACTTTCAGTGAAATTTGTTACGGGGAGTTTTACTAAAATTTGTAAATACATTACAATAATATTTGTTATTGATTTTGTTTGTACTTTAATTGTAAGTGCTACGAATAATAAAATCATTACCAAGGTGAGCTTGGAGGTACACGCGCACACGTCTTGGACAGTAATTCAGAGTCAAATTGTATTTTATGGAACATATCGTGCTCTTCGTTGAGCAATGATTTTTTACAAATTATTCATGAGGTTCTGAAACACTAGATACTTCAATTTTCCACAGTTTTGTTTAATATTTGATAACATTATTATTTACCTTATTAATTGAACTCCAGATCAATTGACTTTATATAATCAAGTTTTAGCACAATCTGTTAGTCTCCTTCATATTGAAATCCGACATCATTAAAGTGAATTTAATTGTGTATTCAGTTTCCTGTTCTACATTTTCCTGGAAAATTTGATGGTTACAACATACACCTGAAGATTATTATAAATGTACGTAACGAAGTGGCTTTCAGTAGCGTTAGATGTCCTGTGTCTTTGATTCATAGCTAACCTCAACCTTGTTGTCGCTGTGTCCCACGAGACCAATCTCAAATTTCTTTTACTTTATCGATGCTGATCTGTCCCGTTGAGTGGCATGACTTCTTTTCTGCGTGTTCGCAGCCTTCAGCGTGCGAGAAAGCCGTGCCACATCCGGTGAACTTCTCTGTCACGCCAGAATCTTTGCAGAATGTCAAGGACAAAGGTCGCATCCATCGATTTTTGGTCACGGGTCACTTGGACTCGACGGTGTGTTGCATCACCAGACCGTTCACAGGGGAGGTATGAACGCTTCTGT